TTCACGTGGAATTCCAATAAAATTGATTCATGTTTGTGGCTGTAATGTGACCAAATGTGGAAAAGTTCAAGGGGGCCGAATACTTTTGCAAGCCACTGTAAATGCAAGACAGAGTTCCCGTAGCAGGCATGTTTCTACATCAATTGTTCAAAGGAGACTGCGTGAATCAGGCCTCTTTTGTCAAATAGCTGCTATTAAACTACTGCTAAGAAAAAGCAACAAACTGAAGAGATTTGTTTGGGCCAAGAAACCCACGGAATGGACATTCGACCAGTGGAAATCTGTGCTTTGGTCTGATGAGTCCAAATTTGAGATCTTGTTGGAAAACCATTTCAATTGACTACCTCATGAAGCTCACAAGAGAATGCCAAGAGGTTTTATCACTCAAATTATACTTCAAAGTAGTTTAAAAGAAATTGGATTATATACAGACAAACTCCTACTGGATACAAAAAAAATAAAGCTGCACTGAATCCTCACCAAAACATGAATGGCTCTATATGAACATTTACTATTGCAACAGGATATGTATTACATCAAAAAAAAATTCTTCTTTGGGTATTTGTTAAAAACAGTCTACCATTGACATATTTTTAGATTTAAGGATTCCACAAATCTTTCATCGAAGCCCAAACAGAAAAAGAAAATGTGAAAAACTGGCTGAGCTAAGCATCCATAGGCAAGTCAAGGACGAGAGCTTTTCAGAGCACGATCACAGCTTGAGAACAAAGGTCAACATTTTTCAAACCTTTACTGAAGGTTCTTTTTAAGGTTGTCCCCACACTTAAAAAGCACATTCAGAAGAAACCACTTCACACTGTTACGAGTCTTTTTCTAGATCTCATTCAGTTCACAGAGATGTGTTTTAACACTGGTTATTTTTTGACCATGAGTTATTTTTTTGACCAAAGAGTCACAGTTTCTTAACAGAGAGGTTGGTACATATGAGACATGTGTGGTTTATTATTATTTTGCTAATAAGCACACACTATGCATCCACAGACAAAGAGATATCGCTTTGCCAGGAGTCACTGCTTTGCTCCCTCTCACCCTCTTGTCTTTTTCACTGGGCTTCAGTTTGACCTTATTTGGCCTGAAAAACTGCTTTTCACCCACTGAGCTCTAACAACCAGTGACGTTTCTTCTGCCTACTGGTACCTCAGTTGTTTGGCATCTGCATTTTATCTTTTTATTTGTATATTCAAGGTTCCCAGTGTTTATTGCATATTGCATAGTGTTAGGACAAGTACAGTCTCTATCTGCACATTACTGCATTGCTGATGTTTACTGCATATTAACATAGGCCCCAGACATGTGACATAGGATGATACTCACATTCAAGCTTGTCCTCAGGACGCCCACCCTCTAGCAAGGAGAGGTAACACACAATGTCCTTAAGCTGCACTGTATCTAGGGGCCTGGGCAGAGTAGGGGTCTTCAGAGGGGTGGAGTTGCCTTTGATCAGCTTTAGTCCTGCAGGACCAACACATGAAAGGTTAAAACATCCTTTATGCCACCTCTAATGTTAGCCCAATAAGCTACTGGGTTTGGATGCCTGATATCAGTGATATAGTCAGAACAATCTGCATGTGTATGGTGTCGAGGGATGACAATACTTCAGCCCTATCACATTGTGTTTAATGGTCCAAATCAATATACTTATTATTTACAGCCTCATAATTTGGCATAAAATGAAGAAATTGACACATATTTTCATTCTCTACATTGCTGCAACTCTGCTGTTTACTCTGTTTTAGCTCTTGTCCTTTTAAGGTCTCACTCTCCTTTGAAAGGTCAGCTGGTCCACTGAAGATGAGACTATAGTGGTTATATACATAAAGGTTAATGCCACTGTGACAGCCTCTCATTTGTGAGTATTGGAGAACTAAGCTGTTCAGTGAAAATGCTGTAAACGTCACAATATAGTACATAACACGTACATTACAGTCAAGTACAAGATGTAGAAAAACCCAATCAGCTGTTTTGTTAGTTTGTCTTTTGTTTGTTTCTTTGTTGTTGTTTTTAAGCTGTAACACTGGGATTTTAGCTGTGCAGAGAAGAGGTTATAAATGTTTTGAAAGGGGCGGCTGTTTTACATTAGTCTTAATGGG